TTACTTGACGTTTTCCTTTGCACAGACTCCTCTTGTTTGTTTTAGATAAACCTTGTATCAATAAGGACCTAAATAACTTTGAACAAAGAAAACAAGACAAAATGGCAGGGGACTTACTGAAAATGAAAGCTGGCCTCCTAAAGGAAAGTTAATCCACTTATGAAGCATAAATAGTCACTATTGATATGGACATTGATTGAGGCAATGGATAAATATCTGATATTGGTTATGGAGAATACAGTAATATCTACCATTTATGAAGCAGCTATTGTGGGTTTTGTTTGGTAGTAGGAGTTTTTCATGCAGTATGAATTATCCCTGTTATCACCACCATCTATCAAGTGTCTTCTATGCATGTGGTCCTGACCTAGATACCACTCACCTTCGGTATTGGTGTAAGAATAGTCTTTAGTCTACCTACATCACACTGTGCAGCTATCATTTATTTTTTGGCAGTTATGTATATGGTATTCTGTTTGATGTTCTACTTACATGAGGGTAATATGAAGGTAAAGTAGTACATAGTCTTAGGCATTAACATGTTTGTGGAAGAATATAGCACACATATATTGTATCAGTTGAGTGAATATTCCCAAATAGGCATTCTAGGCTCTATTTAACTGAGTCACACTGCATAGGAATTTAGAACCTAACTTTTATAGGTTATCAAAACTGTTGCCTTCATTGCACAATTTTGTCCTAATACATACATAGAAACTTTGTGGGGCATGTTAAGTTACAGTTTGCACGAGTTCATCTCATTTGTATTCCATTGATTTTTTTTTTCTTCTAACCATTTTTTCTTCAAACAGTATATAACGTCGGGGGATTTTTTTTTAGATAGAAATCTTTGTCAAAAAGTAATGATTTCTTGATAATTATGTAGTAATGTTTTTAAGAACCCAGCAGTTATTTAATAACTTCTGTGTTAATACTGGATAGCATGAATTCTGCATTGAGAAACTGAATAGCATACAACTGATAGCTGTCTGTCAGAAAATGAAAATTTCTTTCTAAAGATACCCACATGAGTTCTTGAAGAATAGTCATAACTAGATTAAGATCTGTGTTTTAGTTTAATAGTTTGAAGTGCCTGTTTGGGATAATGATAGGTAATTTAGATGAATTTAGGGAAAAAAAAGTTATCTGCAGAAATTTTGAGGGCCCATCTCTCCCCACCAAACCCACATAGAGCTAACTGGGTTACAATGTTTTATCCGAAAGTTTCCAATTCCACTGTCTTGTGTTTTCATGTTGAAAATACTTTTTTGCATTTTTCGTTTGAGTGCCAATTTCTTACTAGTACTATTTCTTAATGTAACATGTTTACCTGGAATGTATTTTAACTATTTTTGTATAGTGTAAACTGAAACATGCACATTTTGTACATTGTGCTTTCTTTTGTGGGACATATGCAGTGTGATCCAGTTGTTTTCCATCATTTGGTTGCGCTGACCTAGGAATGTTGGTCATATCAAACATTAAAAATGACCACTCTTTTAATTGAAATTAACTTTTAAATGTTTATAGGAGTATGTGCTGTGAAGTGATCTAAAATTTGTAATATTTTTGTCATGAACTGTACTACTCCTAATTATTGTAATGTAATAAAAATAGTTACAGTGACTATGAGTGTGTGTTTATTCATGGAATTTGAATTGTTTGCCCCGAAATGGATATGGAATACTTTATAAGCCATAGACACTATAGAATACCAGTGAATCTTTTTATGCAGCTTTTAAGTTAGACATATCCTTTATTTCTAAAAGGTGCTGTGGATATTATGTAAAGGTGTGTTTGCTTAAACGTAAAACCATATTTAGAAGTAGATGCAAAACAAATCTGTCTTTATGACAAAATAATAGATAACATTATTTATTTCCTTTTATCAAAGAAGGTAATTGATACACAACAGATGACTTGGTTTTAGGCCCAAAGGTAGCAGCAGCAACATTAATAATGGAAATAATTGAATAGTTATGTATGTAATGCCAGTCACCAGCAGGCTATTTCAAAGTCAGAATAACTCCACACATATTATTTCTATAACTACATTTAAATCATTGTCAGAAACTTTGTTTTGGAGTGAACCTTGAGTATGTGCTGTTAATGTATCAAATTGGGTGAAAAAAAAAAAGGGATTCCTTTCAAAAGTTAAGAGAAATAAGAAATTATTTTGCTGATTAAATATTCAGTAAATGGCATTCTCTTGTCAGTAAAATGGAGAAATAAGCTAAAAATAATTGGCTAAGTCCTATTAAGTTACAGGATTAAGTGTATTGTATTTTCATTCAAAATTGGGTGTTCATTAATTTATAATCGGTAGTATAGCTAAATTGCTATGTTTGCATCAAAATTGAGCATTAAGTTGCTGATAATTTCTCAGCATGCACAGAAGTTGAAACCTATTCAGTAGGGCAGCTCAGGGATTTTTTACACAATATGTATATCTTCCCATTTTAAGTTAGAATTAATTCACATTATCTGGTACACATAAACAGCTGGCACTGATTGTCAGCTAAATTAAAGTAGTAATGATCAATGGCTGTTTGTCAGCTAAATTAAAGTAGTAATGATCAATTAGTTTTGTTGGTATCTGAATAATAGCGTTGTTTCATAGCTCTATATTTCCTAAGGAAGTACAAGGCTTCTAGCTCTTTCATTACAAATTCGCCCTGTGCAATAAGTTCTTTGATCTTCTCTGGATTCTTCACATCTTTGTTTTTAAGGAAAATGTTCTTCAAACGCTTTTTAAAATAGTCTGCTCCTTTTGGATAGTCTCGTCCAAGATACAGCAGCTTCAAAAAGAAAGATTATGTATTTCTAAACAATCCATGTCATATAATAACATTTTAATAAAATTGGCAACATAATTACTTACATTTTTATAAAGTTTTAGTACTTCTCCTCTTAAAGAATTGGCCATTTTCATTTACCATGTAAATTATCCACTTTTATGCGTAACATGCCTAAAGAAAGGAAAATTTTTTGCAGTTAGCTGCATTGTAGTCTTAAATCAAAAAAGGTTATATACACTGAGAAAATAACTTCTGAAAAATTCAGTAAATATTTCTTGAGAACTTTTTTGTTCCACGTACTGGGATATAGTTATAAACACTTCAGATAAAATAACCTGCTGTCACAGAATTGACTTTTTCCTACGAGACACTAAGCAAAGACGATGATGATTATGAAAGGTCAGATGAAGGAAATAAGATGAGAAAGTGGATTGTTACAGATAGGTACGTGTACCTCCTTTTATGCCACAGTGGAATGAGCTAGATTTAAATCCTAGTTGCATAACGTACAGATTAATTAACCATGCTGAGCCTGAGTTTTCTTTATCAAACGAGACATTATCTTTACCCTGCTCTCAAGGCAAGGCCAGATCCACTTGAAGGACATTGAGCAGAAGCCTGATCAAATCTTATCCAAAGGGAGGCTAAAAACTAGCAGAAACTGGGTGAGTTAAACAGGTTGGAATAGATGGGCAGTAAGATTGGTGGTGAAGAGGCCAAATGAACAACCTGTAAGAGGGTGTCCCTGAGGAACAGGTGACATCCAATGGGATAAATCATGCTTCTTTATGTGTAATATGTTAATGCTACTGAGTAGAGGAGGCTCCTTAAAGGCATCCTGACAGCCTAAACCTAGAAAATAATTCCCACTACCTGTTACAGTTGAATAGTAAGCTCTTAACATTGCATCCCATCAGGTGGATGCAACTGAAATTTGTTCCATTGTGATTGATGTTAATTTTGATTACCCAATTAGAGTCGTATTTGCTAAGATTGTCCATTATAAAATTGTTTCTCTGAGGAACCTAGTCCTTTTAATGGAGAATAGCATTTAGAAACTATAATCTGGATGGAATGTTTTAGAAACCAAGGTCTGGGTGCTAGAAATGCTAATCACCATGGGACTGTCACTGTTCCCAGGTCCTCTAAGTGACAAAGCTGCAAGTGTACATACATGCAGATTTAGGTGTTGTGTGTGTGTATGACTTTTATATTAATCTCCATATAATCTACTACCTAACATTCAATTGCAATACTACAGGGTTTATTTTCATTTCCCCTCTTTACATGGGTTTAATACTCTTGCCTAACAATGAGAAGTCTGGTTCCCACTTGTCCTTAATAAATTTACTTTTTATAATCATCACCCCTCCTCTCACTATGTAATCAAATTCCTCTTGCTCTCACCATTCAGTGCACACACACTACTCTCTGAGCTCTGCCACCCAATGCCAGAGTGCCACTGCCACCATCCCACATGCATGGTCTTCTCTTCATCCCCCTTTTTTCCAACCTACCCTTCTTGGGCTCAAGCAATTTACACTGCACCACTTCCTCCCTCCTGGATAAGGCTCACCTTTTGTTCCCATTCCAAAAACCTGTGCCACCATTTCCTTCACCCTAACAAGATGCCCTCCTCATCCCCTGCTAGGCTGCTGCTGTGCACAAGTCCCTACCCCCAAAGGCCCTCATTGCATTTGGGCTCCAGTACCCCCCCTCTGGGCTACTACCTTGCCAGTCTTTCTCTCGCCCCCCACCCCCCTTCCCCAGATGCCTGCCTTGCTCAGTGCCACATAATGACTTTTAGGCTGAATTACTCTGAAGGACAAGCAGGAAACAACTTTTTTTTTTTTTTTTTTGAGACGAATTCTTGCTCTGTCACCAGGCTGGAGTGCAGTGGTGCCATCTCAGCTCACTGCAACCTCCACCTCCCTGGTTCAAGCAATTCCCCTGCCTCAGCCTTCCAAGTAGCTGGGACTACAGGTGTGTGCCACCACGCCTGGCTAATTTTTTTTTGTATTTTAGTAGAGACGGTGTTTCACCATGTTGGCCAGGATGGTCTCGATCTCCTCACCTCCTGATCTACCCACCTTGGCCTCCCAAAGTGCTGGGATTACAGGCATGAGCCACTGCGCCTGGCCGCAACTTATATTTTTAAAATAGCCTTTTAGATCAGTTTTAAGGGTTATTTTATAGTTAACTAGCAGAAAGTGTGGATTAAAATGACAGTACCATACTCAGTTAAAAATCATTATGGATTAAAATTGCAGTACCATACTCAATTAAAAATCATTGTGCTACATAATTTAAGTTCTCCTGTTACTCTCCTGTTTTGGTTGGACCCCGTAGTACAATAGTGTAGATTCTCATTGTGACTTCACCTGCCCCTTTAGGCGTTTTGCAAAATTTACACCTTTTACAATTTTAAAGTCAGGGTACCAGTGCCTTCATGTATTTCATCTTAAATTTTTATATGTATTAGACATAGAAACTGCATAAAATATGAATGTACAAATATACATCTGGGTACCCATCGTTCAAGTTATGAAACAGAAAATTAGAAGTCTTAGAAGCCCCCTATGCCCCTCTCCAATTGCTTCTCCTTCCCCATCTCTACCAAGACAGCCTCTAGTGACTTCCTGCTTATTCTCTTTAGTTTTCCCACCACTCATGAACATTGCCCTAAATATTTAATTCCAGCAATTTGACCAGCAAGCATGAATCTAGCAAGGAAAGGGGCAACAATACTGCTGTTAATTAAAAGCAAACAGTCCTAGTCTGGCTTTACCTTCTCCAGGCTTTATGAGTCCCTTCTGGAGATGTTAATTTGCAATGTCATGAGTGAATACTGGGCTCCTCACAACTGAAGCATGTGGGAAGATCAGAGTGTAGAACTGATACTTGATTTCCAGCCAATACATAGCAAAAATGGGAAGAAGGAAGACTATTTTCTGCTTTAAGCTCACCAACGCCCAACATCAGCTTTCAGGAATAGGTTGAAAAAGAAGGGTAAAAGTGAGTGTCCTCAGTTGGTCCAGTCAGCATAGCACAGAAGACAGCAGGAATTTCATCACCACATGGTCAAGGCAAATGGCGGTAAGAATCTGAGCCAGGCTTGCCTAGGCATAATGTCCTCAGGTTAAAAAGATGGTACAATGGCAGCAGGGATCTTGGTGGTAACCACCACCAATGTGAGTCATACTGCTTGATTCTGGACTGACTGCTCTCTACATCAAGAAGCACAACTGTAGTACTGGAATCTCACTTGACCATGCTCCCAGAAATTCCTTTTGCCTATCCTCTATGTTGATTATCCCATTTTCTACATTTCAAAGTGTTCCATTTACTGGTTTTATTTTTGTTTCTGCGGAGCATATTCTAACTTCTTGAAAAGGGTACATGGAAGGTAAATGAGACCCTGGATGTCTAAAAATGGCTGGCTCCCTCTACTTGTTTGATAGCTTGTCTGAGTATAGAATTGAAAGCTGGAAATAATTTTCTTTCAACATTTTGAAGCAGTCGCTCATCTGTTTGCTTTTACCATTGCTATTAAGAAGTTCAAAGCAGTCCTGGTAAGTGATCCTCTGGATGGATGTATTTTTTCTCTCTCCCCAGAAACTTACAGAATCCTCTCCATGAAGATTTTGAAATGTTAGTGATGTGTTGATAATGGATTTATTTTCATCCATTGTGCTGGACACTCAGTTGGCCCTTGCAATCTGGACACTTGTTTCCTTCAATTTGGGAAAAAATTTTAAATGATTTCATTCATGATTTCCCCCCTCCTCCATTTTCTTTTTTCTCCCTTCTTGGAACTTTTATTATTTGGATGTTTGAACTTCTAGACACGTTCTCTTCCTTTTTTCTCTACTATTTTCCATTTGTCTTTTTTTTAAGCATGGAGTTTTGCTCTTGTCACCCAGGCTGGAGTGCAATGGCCTCATCTCGGCTCACTGGAACCTCCGCCTCCTGGGTTCAAGCGATTCTCCTGCCTCAGCCTCCCGAGTAGCTAGGATTACAGGCGTCTGCCACTAAGCGTGGCTAATTTATGTATTTTTAGTAGAGATGGGTTTTCACCATGTTGGCCAGGCTAGTCTCGAACTCCTGACCTCAGGTGATCCACCCTCCTTGGCTTCCCAAAGTGCTGGGTGGGATTACAGGTGTGAGCCTCTGTGCCCGGCCTTTTATTCAGTTTTATGGGGGATTTTCTCATTTTCATCTTTCAAGTGTTCTATTGAGTTTTTCACTTCTGCTCTTCCTGGACAGTTAATTTTGACCATTCAGATTGCTCTCAGCATAGCTGGAGACTACTACAGAGATGTTAAAAATACTAAGAAGTTAATAATAGAGTAGCCTGGGAATGGGAGTACGGGCTGGAGACCAGGAAGAAATCAAAGATGCACGAGGCAACCTTTGTGGATAACGGATATATTTATTGCCTTGATTGTGGTGATGGCTTCATTGTGTGTGTGTGTATACATATGCGTATATGTGTATATATACATATCTATATAGTTAGAATAGATACTATATAGTATATAGTATGTAGTTTTCCCACCACTTAGCCCTGTTCTTAGACTTTTGCTGGCATTTCTATTCTTTGCAAAAATATATTAAAATATACATTTACAAATAGAGGTAGCCATTTTCAGTATATAGTATACTATGGTATATATATATCTACTATGTAGTAGATAGTAGATATATATAGTATATAGTACATAGTAATTCCTTTTATTTTTGTTTCCATGGAAACAAAAATTATATGTATACTATATATGTATACTATAGGTAGTATATATACTATATAGCACATATATATCTATAAATATGCATATATAGATGTGTATATATGAACCAAATTTATCGAATTATGCTTTATAAGTGTAATTCAGTGTCAATTCTATTTCAGCAAAACTTAAAAAAATAATAGAAATGCCAAAGTCTAAGAACAGAGCTAAGAGATGCTGAGGTAACACATGGAAGTAGAAATCGATCTAAACCACAAGGCTGCCAATTCGTGGGTAGGAGAGGTGACTCTACCTGCCCCCAGTCAATGGCTGCACAGAACTTGGGGTATGCCTCGCTGGGGAGGGAACCCTGGGAATATACACTTGAATCAGTGAAAAAATCTGAAAGGCACTTGCCACCAGCATAGCAGTGAAGCCATGACCTTTTCTTGCTGAAGGTCATACATGTACTGCTTTTCTGGCTCCTCTTTCGTAGGGAAAAAAAATCACACAGGAACCAACATTACTTCTACATTAATACTTGTAAAATTGTACTTACTACTAGTTAATGAGCTAATTCACATAACAAGCATACTATGTAGGCATTTTTTTCCTTCCAAGTGCACTGATTCTTGCTTTCTTGAAATTTTCTGTTGTTTTACTTCAAATAGCTTTTCTGCTTGCTTTCGTCTCTATCACTTCTGAGCTTTCTTCCAAAGTCTGGTCATTCTTTTCTGTCTACTCTTATGAGTGAAAAGACACAAAAGCTTTTTAGATCTGTATATATGGGTGAAGCATACAGACTCTGGGCTTCACTGAGGGTGCTCTGAGCGGGCCTTTACTGAGGAACGTCTGATGTCAGTATCTTGGATTGCTCCTCCTGGGCTGGGCAGTTCCTCAGAGTTCAGTCTTCCAGTCTTCTAAGCATTTGCCTATTAAACATTAAAAAGTGAAAGAGGAATGCAGGCCCTGTATCCAGCATTATTATACCTAAATTCACTTAATTTTGTTTCCAGTGTGCTTCTCTAGAATGCCTGAGGGTGCCCCAGTCCAGGGACTAGTATTACTTTGTCCAGAAACCTCTAGTCTTTTATGGGAGTAAGGGGGTAGAGTTACTTAGAGGTGTTTCTCAAATAGCTTTCATGTAGTCCACTTCCAATTTCAGGGCCCCTGTTTCAGTGCCTTTTGAGAATTCTGCAGAGTAAATTGGGTTTTTCTGGTGTGCTAAGTCACATTCATTCACCTGTTTTCCAGCTTCTGAAGTTTTATTGCTGTTATCTCCTGTCCCAATTTTTCCAATTTATTTTTATATCATTTTACTATAGATTTAGTCATTTTGGAAGGGAGTAAAATTAGATGAGGGTATTTAACCCACTATATTAACTACTTCATTTTTTAAACTTCTTTTTCTTTTGGCAGACAGCCATTAGCAGTGTGAAATAATCTTACTAAGAATGATTCTTAGGCTGGGCATGGTCGCTTGTACCTGTAATCTCAGCACTTTGGTAGCCCAGGGCCGGAGGATGGCTTGAGGTCAGGAGTTTGAGACCAGCCTGGGCAACATAGTGAGACCTTGTCTCTACTAAAAGTAAAAAAATATTAGCCAGGCATGGTGGCGTGTGCCTGTAGTCTCAGCTATTTGGGAGGCTGAGGTGGGAGGATCGCTTGAGCCCAGGAGGTTGAGGGTGTAGTGAGCCATGATTATTCCACCACTCCAACCTGGGCAAAATTCATTTTGAGACCCTGTCTCAAAACAAAACAAGCAAGCAAACAAAAAACACCTCTTGGGAGCCATGTTCTTTTCACATAATTTAAAATTAAATCTACATAGAAGTAATTTCAAATTGCAAACTATAACCTGTTTAATGCCTAACAGCACACCTTCATTTAATTCACAATTTGTAACTTGTGAAAGCTTTTAGGGACCTGGCTTAAGTTGTCCTTTTTAGTTGTTGGTCTTTTTACAAATTATGTATTATAAAAGACTTGCCTAGCAAAAATGTAACTAGTGTGGCTGAGGTAAATTTGTTCTTCTTTGATATGTTAACTTACATGAATTAATGCAGTTTATCTTTTTTTTTTTTTTTTTTGAGACAGAATCTTGCTCTGTTGCCCAGGTTGGAGTGTAGTGGTGTGATCTTGGCTCACTGCAACCTCCCTATCCTGGGTTCAAGCGATTCTCATCTCAGCCTCCAGAGTAGCTGGGATTACAGGTGCCCGCCACCACGCCCGGTTAATTTTTCGTATTATTTTAGTAGAGACAGGGTTTCACCGTGTTATCCAGGATGGTCTCGATCTCCTGACCTCGTGATCTGCCCGTCTTGGCCTCCCAAAGTGCTGGGATTACAGGTGTGAGCCACCATGTCAGGTAATGCAGTTTATCTTTATGCAGTTGACCTTGAAGCATTTAGGTTTATTTTAGCCATTAAGAGAAACAGGTCTCCTTGGGTTCACAATGTAGTGAATAAACAATTTGAGTTCAGCAGGGTCTGAGGCTGCTCCTGAACTCTGCACGAAGTCATGGAGGTTACTGTTTTAAGTAAAGAGCCAAGAGTTAAGGACTAAGAGAAGCCCCCTATTATTCTGAAAACTTGGATGTGTGCGCTGGATGAGACAGCGGTTGCAGTCCCCATTGATAGTTTTTCCCCGCTGCCATTCTAGGCTAAGGAGTTAAGACTTTACCAGTTTCAGTTCTAGGCTAGTGGAGAATTGTCATTTTACTGGGGGTTATGTGGTGCTCAAAGTTGTTAACCATTCTTCCCCACGGGGTAGATACAGTGAGAGCTTCAGTAAAGCCTTTCCTCTAAAAGCCCACTATTTTAAGGTAACTTGGGATTACTGCACTGTCTCCTTACCCCCAAGAATCCTAATTTGAGTTGACTGAGGTGTTTTATCATTAAACATTAGTTTTCCTGAAACTAATTTAAAAGGAAACCTTAACTTCCATACCAAACAGCCACGGCAAACTGAGTAAGAACTCTATACGAAGTCGCTATTAAAATGTTTTTATCTTGCTACCAGGATACGGATGTAAAATGCTAATAACTATTACACAACCTGTAATAGTTACAGGTTACAATGGGGATAATAACACTTTAACCCATAAAGACTAGCTTAGTCCTACTACTTATCTATGAATAATGCATGTAGCCAATAATACTGGAAGGGATCGAGCATTATAAACTTAGAATTCAGAGATGAGAAATGGTGCCAGTAATTTAAAAGTATTTTCAGGTCTCATAATGCTAAAACAGGGTGCCCTACAATTACAGAGAACTCAGTCGGGCTTGAGGAGAACAGCCTCACTTAATTGTAGTTTTCCTGGCGGTGTAAGGTGCCAGCGTTTCTTCGTGTGGGAGGAGACTGAAATTCTGAAGGTTGTGCTACTCATTCGTACAATTAGTCTGTGACCTTGGGAAACTAATGAGTATTTGGGGCCTCACCGATCTTCATGTTAAGGAATATTTATTTTACCCAGGAATTGCTTCATTTTCTATTCTTGTTTAGGGCGCTCTTAGGAAAAAGGACACGTACGCTGCACAGAAAGTAAACAATAGAGCAGAGAGAAGAATCCGAAGGTCAATAATCTTACAATAAACAACCCTCTGGAGTCAACTTACTTCCCTCTTTAAATTGCCGAATGAGCCCCATCCCCCTGCTGGCTTAAATCGCAGTGGCCCGGGCCGCCCACCGGGTGTCCGCTGCTTGAACCAGTCCCATGCCGGTTCCCTTCTCGAAACCCTCCCAGAAAGACTGAGCCCCAACACACTCTAGGAAATAAACCGTCAAGGTCAGGAGACGCTCAGAACCCTCTTCCCACAGCCGGTGGTCCTCGCCCAGAGCGTATTTCGCCTGCAGACCCCAGGATCCGGGAAACGGAACAAAACTCCCCGGCGCCGGCACTCACGCACTTTCCGGCACGCCGGAGCCGCAAAACCTTCGACCGCTTCGACTCCTCTGTCCGTCTACTGCGAAGCGCGGTGGGGTTTGGGGAGGAGGGCAACCTGTCAGTAAAGGGGGCGGGGCGCCGGCCGGAAGAGCCTGCTGCGGCTGCGCTCTTTTCCTGGAGCGCAAGTGGGCGGGACCTGTCGTCCGGACAACCCGGGAGCGTTTGTTCACATAATTTCAGCTTCGACTCTGCTGACTACTGCGGTGGAACTTGACTCCTAATGGTGAGCAAGGCAAATGAGGCAGATAGGTGGAGGGGCGACCATTGATTCTGCCTCACCAGTGTTAAATGATGTAATAAGAGCCGGTCATATTTTACAGAGAAGCGGGTCGGTTTGGGAAATAACTCATACCTCGGGGTGGGTCGGCCCTCTTCTCAGCAATAGCTTTCCTTACCTGGATCGGGCGGACGGGTAGGAGTCCCAAACCGGTTTCTGCAAACGGGAAATGGTCAAAGCTGTCACACGGTATCCTGATCTCGAATGTTGCTGAGCTTGAAAATTGGTCCCAACTTAGTAACTTCCAGTAATGATAGACGTTCCCACTAAATTCTCTTATAGCAACTTGGCGGAAATGTTTTAGTACCTCTCCAGCAGTTAATTAAAAGCTAATGCAGTTTACTCTGCTTTGGAAAGATATTTTATGTCGTCTTTTGTGGGACTATGAATTGTTTTGTGATTCAAGGTACTCATCCTGCGTTAAATATGATAAAGCTTCTCATTTTGTTTTTCTGCACTCCTCAACTGCCATGTTTTCACCAAGGAGACAGGCCAACATGTAGCTATGAGAGTATCTCTGTCTGGTTTTCTTAAATGTGGTTTCCATCAAGACATTTTCTGTAATTAAAACCAGAGGAAGTGGAGAATGTCATTACTTAATTATTTAATTCATTAATTAAGGGAAAATATGGAGTGCATTCTTTGTACTTGGCACTGGGCTAGAAGCCAAGAATTCCAAGAAGAACATGATGACAGCTCTGCTTATGGGATACAGATTAAACAAATTAATTACGATACAGTTTTACAACTGCAACAATTGAAGTATCTAAAATGGGGTAACACAAAGTTGGAAATGATGAAATCAGTGAGGGGAAACAAGGTAAGGAAAGAGTGGTGCTTTTCAACCTGTTTTAAAGTATAAATACGAGTTTTCCACGAATGGTGGCAAGAAATAGGAATGGAGGCCTGGCGCGGTGGCTCACCCCTGTAATCCCAGCACTTTGGGAGGCTGAGGCAGCGGATCACGATGTCAGGAGTTCGAGACCAGCCTGGCCAACATGGTGAAACCCCATCTCTCCTAAAAATACGAAAATTAGCCTGGCGTGGTGGCGCGCGCCTGTTATTCCAGCTACTCAGGAGGCTGAAGCAGGAGAATCGCTTGAACCCGGGAGGCGGAGGTTGCAGTAAGCCGAGATTGTGCCACTGCACTCCGGCCTGGGCAACACAGCGAGACTCAAAAAAAAAAAAAAAAAAAAGAAATGGGGAGTGGAGAGCATTCCTGGCAGAATGCAAATGGAACCTAAGTCAATTTACAATTGCTAATAAATTGGGAGAACAGTAAGCACTTACTTGTTACCTTCCAATTTGTTACCTAAGTTTCTTCTTCGTCTTAGATTCTTCTCCCAGTGTTTCTCAAAGTGTAGCCCCTGTAAGCACTTACTTGTTACCTTCCAATTTGTTACCTAAGTTTCTTCTTCTTCTTAGATCCTTCTCCCAGTGTTTCTCAAAGTGTGGCCCCTGGAACATTTACTTCTAATGCACCCAGAGTACTTGTTAAAAATACAGATTCCAGGAACCCACTCAACTCCAAATCTACTGTATTAGTTTCCTAAGGCTGCCAAGTAAGGAATTGCCACAAACTAAGTGCTTAAAGAAAAGCATTTTATTGTCTCGCAGTTCTGGAGACTAGAAGACCAAGATCAAAGTGTCAGTAGGTCTGTGATACCTCTGAGGGCCTTAGGGAGAGATCTGTTCAGACCTTTCCTGGCTTCTGGTAGTTCCTTGGTTTGTGGCAACAAAACTTCATTCTTTACATGGCATTCTCCATCTGAGTATATATATCCAAGTTTCCTTTATTATTATTATCATTATATAAGGACACAAATCATATTGGATTAGGGGCCCACGCTATTCAGTATGGCTTCATCTTAATTTAACTAATAAAATCAGTAATGACCTTATCTCCCAATTAGGTCAAATTCTGAAGTACTGGGGATCAGGTTTCAACATATGAATTTTTTTTTTTTTTTTTTTTTTGAGACTGTCTCACTTTGTCACCCAGGCTGGAGTGCAGTGGCACCATCATGGCTTACCAAAGCCTCAGCCTCCCTGGTTCAAGCAATCTTCTCAACTCAGCCTCCTGAAGAGCTGGGAGTACAAGGCACGCGCCACCACACCCAGCTAATTTTTAATTTTTTTTCACAGATAGGGTCTTGCTTTGTTGCCCAGGCTGCCCTCAAACTCCTGGGCTCAAGTGATTCTCTTCCACTTTGACCTCCCAAAATGCTGGGATTATAGGACTAAGCCAGTACACCCAGCCAAAATAGGATTTTTTTTTTTTTTTTTTTTGAGGCAGAATTTTGCTCTGTTGCCCAGGCCAGAGTGCAATGGCGAGATCTCAGCTCACTGAAACCTCTGCCTACCGGGTTTAAGCAATTCTCCTGCCTCAGCCTCCTGAGTAGCTGGGATTACAGGCTCATGCCACCACACCCAGCTAATTTTTGTATTTTTAGTAGAGACGGGGTTTCACCATGTTGGCCAGGCTGGTCTTGACCTCAGGTGATCCACCCGCCTCTGCCTCCTAAAGTACTGGAATTACAGCCGTGAGCCACTGCACCCAGACAACGTGTAATTTTTTGAGGGATGCAATTCAATCCATAACATCTACTGAACCACAATGTAGGAAGAGAAGTGAGTGTATACACGTTTAGTCCATAAATACGCATTTCTAACAAGCTTCCCGTATGATTCTTATGCCCTCTGAACTTTGAGAACTACTTCACTACATGGTGAGTAGCTCTTATGACATATAGGAGGAGTGAGGATATGTACTTACCCCAAACCTGATTTATATTAAAAGCACAAGTGAGAAGTGACAGTTTGCCCCTCTTTAAAATATGGCTACTTGAGAACCGGAGCAATGCTATTTACATATTCAGCTGTTTAGTACTTATTTCACAATGGAAGTATGTTAACTCTTAATTGATAGAAACTATGATAAAAATAGAATCTATTTGTAAAAATTATATGGCAGCAAAGTCTCTACTATTCTATCTCCAGTGCCTCAGAGTGCCTTGTGTGTAAATCATTAATTAATATCTGCTGAGTGAATTACTATAATATATGCACTCTTCAAGAAGATGGAATCTACTGATCTGTGTTAAACTTCAGTTTTACATGGTATAATCTTGTGGGATGAACCAATATTTCCCACCTATAACTCTTCAAATATGTAAAGTGTCTTGTATTCACATGATCTCCTACATATTCCTTACCAAAAAATCTGATAAACACGTAAGCCTAATCAGGAAAGTATAAGTGGTATTATTGTAACTATGAATCTTTTTTGAAATGCTGTGCTTTCCAAAATAATTTCCAGAAAAGAATAGATTTGCCTTAAAACACGTTGCTGAATAGAATCTTCATTTTATCATAGCTTTGCCTGCTTTATTTATTTGTTTATTTATTTATTTATTTATTTATTTATTTATTTATTTCTGAGTCTTGCTCTGTCACCCAGGCTGGAGTGCAGTGGTGTGATCTTGGCTCACTGCAACCCCCGCTTCCCAGGTTCAAGTGACTCTCCTGCCTCAGCCTCCTGAGTAGCTGGGACTACAGGCACATGCCACCACGCCCGGCCAATTTTTTGTATTTTTAGTAGAGACGGGGTTTCACCGTGTTAGCCAGGATGGCCTCCATCTCCTGATCCTGTGATCCACCTTCCTCAGCCTGCCAAAGTGCTGGGATTACAGGTGTGAGCCACCACACCCAGCCGCCTGCTGTATTTATTTATTCATTTTTTGGAAATGGGGTCTTGCTCTGCTGCCCAGGCTGAATGTCATGGCTCACTGCAGCCTTGACCTCCTGGGCTCAAGTGATCTTCCCACCTCAGCCTCCCAAGTAGCTGGAACCACAGGCATGTGCCTCCATGCTTGGCTAATTTTTAAAAATTTTTTGTAGAGACAGGGTCTTCCTGTGTTGCCTGGGCTGGTCTTGAACTCTTGGGCTCCAGTGATCCTCCCGCCTTGGCCTCCCTGAGTGCTGAAATTACAGGAGTGAGCCACTGTACAAGGCTGCTTTGTGTGCTTTAAATAGCTGATTCCCTTTCTATAAAAATCATCAATCTAACTTTACAGAAAGGTTATTTCTTTATGAGATCATTCCCACACTTGCAAATTTGACATCAGTGCACACAATTGGTCAATAATTTATTGTCCTTTGAACCCTTTAAACTAGTGCCTTCTTGACTAGTACTCTGTTTAGTAACAGGGCATTTCATTAAACATAGATCATTGATTGACCTAAGAAATAGTGTAAAATCTACATACAAAAAAAATGCTTCAGTAGGTGAACTTAGTTTTCCTATACTTATTTGTAGTTTTGTCTGAACTGTTTTTAAAAAAGCATTTTATTTTGGGATAATTTTAGATTTGCAAGGAAACTTACAAAGATGGTACAGAGAGTTCCCTTATGCCCTTTACCAAGTTTCTTCTAATTTTAACATCTTACATAATCATGATACTTTTGTATCAGAATTCTCTTTAAAATTGATCAATTCTTTTGTTTTCCAACTTTTAGGGTCCTAAAGCAAAAAAGGTATGTAGAATTTTTTTCAAAATAGATAGTTGTGTAGTCACTTACAGTGTGTGAACAGAATATTTACAGAATTATAGTTTTAGTTTGTACAGTTTACTAAGCTTGCTTTTTAGACATTAATGTGGTTTAAATCATGGAATCATCCTTTATAACAATAGGACACATGTCAAATTTGACATAAGAGAGTTTAATTTCACGAATACTTTAAAAAATAGCTTTTAATTTTTACTTGTGTGTAGATTTGCAGCTTTTTGTTAATTCTGTTCTAGAAAATGTT